TACCCAGACAACAACAACTCAGGGAAAAAAGAGTAGATTCTAGCTCACAATTGCAGGTTACAGTCTATCACCCTAGAGACTGCAAGACAGCAGGAACTCAAAGAAGCTGGTCAATCCACAGTCAAGAGGAGCTAGAGAGTGAAGGCATACATGCATACACTCAGATCACTTTCTTCTCTTAAAAACAGCCAGGCTCCAAATCAAGCAATAGTGCTGGATTCATTCCCTATTTACTAACATTTAAGAACCAACCCACCCCATAAACACAGGTCAACCTGGGATAGACAACCCCTCACTCTTACTCCCTGGCATGGTTCTAGGTTGTGCTGAGTTGGCAATAAAACTAACCATCACAATAACCAACTATGGAATTAGATGCACAGTGAAAAACTATACAGGCAAAATTGAAATCAGCACAAAGTATAAATCAGTATTTAGTATAATGACTAACAATGAGAGAACAGAATAAGTAAGTAAGTAAATAAGTAAATAACATATTTTCCTCAGGTGTACTTGACCATTTACATATCATAGAAAACAGCACACACATCGGAAGTGATGTCAAACAATTAGGAGTCACCGCTCAACCGAATCTCCGTAGCATCCATCTTGTTAATGAAACATATTTCTCTATTTTCTAAGTAGAACATACTATAGTTTCCTCTTAGAAACTGACACCTAAAGGATATTTCTACTTTTTATTCTATCTCTAGCTATTTATACCAATATACAAAACAGCCTGAATGTAACATCAGAAAGCATTGGCATTGCCAAAAACCAAATGAATCTGAGAAGTCTGAAAGCCCATCAGCATTTCATCGGAGGTGGGGACATCTTACCTTAACTTAGAACATGAGGAAATCTTCAGATGTTCTGTTCATTTGACATACAAGTATGGGGCTTAAATAGTGTGTTGAATTCCATCAGTAGCGAGACTGTCACTAATCAGAACAAAATGCTTTTGTGTAGGTTTTTCAGGTAAGCTAGTTATGTCCAAAAGTATTGAATAATTTTATTACCCTTTGACTTGATTGTTTTGGCTTTGTGCCCATGTTAAAAGCCTTTCCACATAGCTTCAGCAGAGCAAGTCTAAGATGGTGCTGCAATGGGCAGAGAGTTTGGAATTCACAACTTGATAGAATCACTGAAGACTAATGATTGTTTGTAGATATCTTTTGATGTGAAGGAAATACTTATGTTTCATTTCCACTGGTTTTATCATTGATATTTTCCACATTGTGCTGAGAAAGGGTGGTGGTCAAGATGATGATTCATGAACAAGTGTTAGAAAACCTAATACAAATAAATGTAGAGGGAGCACAGGCATGACTGGCTCATTATGTGATGAATCTACAGCCAATTCTGGATACAGCACTGAGCCCTTCCTCATCTGCCGACTCTCTTTTCCAGAGCTCTGGTTTCTGGACTGTATTTTATATAGGAACTACTGGTCCAAACTTAGAGGGATCACAGAATGCCATCAGCAATCAGTTACTACTCAAAAATGATGTCACTGTATGTGTCATCCATCTTTTATGTATCTCACTTCTGACTCATTATAGCTGACTGTCACTTATGCCCCTGGTGGCCTGGGATTCTGGGAATTGTAGTTTCCAAGGCCATCTATTGAAAAATCCATCTTCACCCAACATGGAAATGGTTGAGTGAATTATGAAGGCAAATGCAATTCAGAAGCCATGGAAGCTTTAATACCCTGAGGTGAGCTCTGAAGCCTAGTGTACCATGGCTGAGGCAAAGAGACTGCCATCTCTATCACTCAGAAAGTCACATTATGAAACCTCCTTAATGCTGTCTAACCCTTGCCAAGCCAAATTTAGTTGAGCAGAACATCCATTAAGAAATACAGTGTTTTGTAATATATTGTGATGAATCCTATTTACAGTATATTTTATATAATGCATATTAATTATATACCACATATTATAATTATAACTAATAATCACTGGAATTGACTCCACACACATGAAGACTGCTTTTCTGAAAGAGCTAACACTTATACTATAAAACTTATACTTTTGGACACATTATTAAGAAAGATATTGTCTTCCTTACTCACTGCTATTATTTCTAATGCTTTACAATTTCTTGCCTGACAGTGAGGATATTGGTGAGAAAATTAATGAATTGGAAAGAAAGAATGAATGCTTGTTGTGACAGAAGTTCTGTCATTTTGTAGGAGGAGAACCAATGAAACAGGGACCAAACAGTTTATTACAGAACTGTTTCTGGATCAAGATAAAGCATTAGTAGTAGGGAGTGTGCACAGACATCTTTGAGACAAGGGAACAACCTGGCAACACATTTGAGATGACTGTGGGTCACATCAAATGAAGTCAAGGATTATATAAGGAAAACGACTTGAAATTCATCTACTTCTTGCAACCGGAAAATAAATTGCTTGTAGCAACGTTTAAATCAGGATGCAAAACTGTAATCAAAAAGGTCAAATACCATACTGAGTCAACTGACAAATAGATAAAAATGTTTTATTTATTTTTCCTGTTGCCTTTGGAAAAGCATCTTAAGGATAAATTTATTCTGGATCACATTTGAGAATCCAGTCCACCATGGTGGGGAAACCAGAACACAGCAGCAGTAGCTTGAGGCAGCTGGTCACATTGAGGCCGCAGTGTAGGACAATGAGTGCTTGTTCAGGGAATAGTGTTATTCACAGTGAGCAGGGCTTTCTAACTCAGTAACCTAATCAAGTTAATCTTCATAGACAAGCCTAGAGGCCTATCTCCCAGGTCATCCTAAATCTCATTGAGTTACTAAATGAGGTTAGCCATTATAGTCGTTAAATAACCAAGAAGAAATCTTTAGATAGAAAGGCAAAAATGATGGGTTTCCATTAAAAGTTAAATATAAAATATTGAGAAACATAGGTCTGGAATGTAGCTGAATTAATAGACTTCTTTCTTAAAGTGGGTGTGGCCCTGGGTTTGATTCTCAGTAGAGCAAAATGAAGAAATTAAATATATGATGAAATTATGATCTAGATACTGAGTAATAATGTTACATGTTTAGTAAGAACTAATAATAGCCACAACCAAACATACTGATAATGCTGTACTATACTCCTTATGTCAAGTATGAGGTGTAATGCCATTTCCCTTTTTGTTGGCTTAACTTGATGTTTCACTGAACATCCCAAAGGTTTCTGGTGATCACAGTCAACATGCCACTGGAAATCTTATTCTGTCTCCACACTCAGAATGGATGTATATGACATATATTTATTTTTCACATGATAAATTGATGTTCAGTATAGTAGCTAAAGACGCAAGTATTATTTTCAGATTACTTCAACTATACAACTTACACATAAACCCAGCTTTTCCTCATGAGGCAAAGCAGATGATAAAATCTAGGTAACAAAAGCTTTCATGATAGAAGTAACTCTCAGACATAGGGAAAGATTATTAGTAGTGAGTTTGGCATATTGGAAAGCTACAAGAACTCCAAAATACGTGGGGACCATGTACATGCAGTTGACAGTGACACTTACAGGTGTAGATGAGATCAACAAGGCATGGCTATTGTTGGAGAACAGAGGAAAGGAGAGCAGAAGAAAACAGAGAAATTACTAAGATTACTAATAATTTTGAGTATATATTTAAATGAGAAATTATTCCAAAACAAAAATCAGTTTTGATCTTTATGTAGTATTTCAATAATCTTAAAAAAAACACTAAATTTGTGTTCCCTGTGCTTGACAGTGTAAAAAGTACATATTGCTATCCATCTTATTTAATGGGATTTACATTAAACTTTCACATTTTTAATTTGTAAAAAAAATGGCATATGCTTGTTGTCCTGAATGTGTTGTAAATTTGATTGGTGTATTAATAAGCCACGGTAACTGTGACTTACATGAACATAAACCTTATACTTCTCAAATAAAATTGAATGACATAACTATAATATTGTAGATTTAATTGCTCAAACAATCATGGAAACCAATCTTCTATGCATTTTCACTTCGTGTATCTAAGCATCTTAGTTTTCCCATTTTTGATGACATTATGGTCAGAGAAGAAAGGGGGACTGGTAAACACCAGGAAAAATAATTTTTCCTTCAGTGAAATGATGTTTTGTAGCCACCGGTAGCTGCAAGGGAAACTGAGAACAAGCGGCAGGTGATTGAAGAAAGAGAAAGTAGTTGAAAATGAGTACAAAGTTGGCCAAAATTTCTTGTATTTTGTCTTTTGTGAATGATTTGTGTAAGATGTTTATCTAGTCATCTATTAAATTGTCAGTCATTCTAAAATTTTTATATGCTTATGAATACAATTATATTAGAATTTCTATGTTTGTTCTGTTTTACTCATTTCTTTTTAATTACGTTTATGAAGTTATTCTAAATGGTCAAAAATAACTTTTTTGAAACATTATATCACAGTTGTTTATTGTACTAAAATTCTCCTAGGGTAACCAAATTTTGTTTCTAGCTTTTCTTGGTTGACATATTTGTATATTTTTACATTAAAAGTATTAAAAATCATTTCTTCTTCGTTGAGAGCATTGCATTATACACTAAACGTTGTTGGTTTACACTCACTGATGGACATAGGAGCTGCATCCACTTGTTTGCTATGACTAGCACACCTTTGTGTGTAAAAGTGCATTTTCATTTTTCTTGAATAAGCGAATAAAATCATTGGCTATAGTACATTTTTAATGCTATATGAATCTGTCAAGTTAATTTTCATTGTGGTTTTATCATTTTATACTCCCAGCAATGCATAGCAATGCCAGTTTTCCTTTATCTCCTACATATCTGGTGTGGTCATTTTTTTTTCTTCTTTTAGTGATTCTAGCATATGAAAAACTATGTGTCTATGTGGGACCTATTTGCATTTTCTGATGCTAATGACTTTAAACACTTATGTGTTATTTGTCATTTGTCTTGTTTTGACAAGTGTCTCTTTGATTCTTTAGTACATTTTTAATTGGTTATTTTCACTATTCATTTGCAGGAGCCTTTAAAATCTTCTAGGTTCAAGTTGTCGGTTGCTTGTTTCTGCGAACATGATCTTTCAGCTTCTGGTATGCTTTTAAATTTATTCATCTAACTTGCAAGGTTAGACGTATTTTTATCAAGTTTTGGTATTTTTTATCCCCAATCACCATAGCTTTTTTTTATGGCTAGGAGACATTTGTTTTCCTGAGGTAATAATGATTTTTTCTTATTTCTTCTTATAATCCATTTAGCTTTAGCAATAATATTTAAGTTTAGGAACTATTGTAAATTAATTTTGTGTAAGACATAAGGCAAGTGTTGGGTTATACTAGTTTTCATGTTTTTCTCCAGGTGGTCTATCATCATTCATCAATTTTTTCTTTTGTACCTTTACTTAATTTGTGCATGTCAAAAGTCAATTTATGGAGTATGTATACCTTGATTTCTAATTTCACTGTTTTTCATTGATAGATTTTCGACCTTCACTCCCTAGCCATGCTATCTTAATTACAATGGTATTTTAAATAATCCCTCCTATCAGCTAGTTTGCAATGTAGTTTTGAATTTATTTTGAAAAGATTTAATTTGAAGATTTCTAATCATAAATTGGAGTATGTGTAGTTTTCTTTAATCTTTCTACTAATTACAACCCCAAAGCCCAACTTTGTTTAAATGATACAAATACAAGAAAATTTTGAAAAGAGAAGAAAGAGTATATACTGCTTATAGACCTCTAGCCCAAGGAGTACAGTGTTGTGAATTTCTTGAGTTTTTTATTTGTTTATATTTATCTATATTTGCAACACTTAAGGTAAAGTTATACCAAGAACTCAGTGCCATGTTCCACTATATAACAAAAAGCAATCCACTCATCTGCCAACAAATAAAAGTCTGGTAGGAAGACTCAAATTTATCTTTACCAAGGTTTGTGGTTCCATTTCCTATGAACTATGGTCAAATGGTTAATCATGAGTAAAAATCACATTCCTCATATGGAAGACAAAAGCCTGCTACCATCCCCTTGCTATAATGGCAGAAGACTGTTGGATGACTCTCTGTGCAGTAAGGAAGCATCCCTTCCTCTCACTCCTTGAGAGGTGTCAGAAGAAGCTTGGTGGAGGGTCTAGACTTTTGTTTGTCGTCTAGCATTTATTAGACTGTGTTATCTGTGGAGGCCACACTGAGACACAGGAATCTTATTCCAACCTACAGTAGCCAAGAGAACCAAGACACAAAGCAGAGGAGCTAGACACCAGTCCCAACCATGTAAAGAAATAGCATACCGCACTCTTGCCTGAGTTGTTTCAAAGCAAGATATCTAGATGGAACTGTAAGTAAAACCTAGGACCTCAGAAAGCACAGGCACAATACTTAGGTTCTAGGATGCTCACCTCACCAATAGCAAGGCTCATGGAACAAGCAGTAGCACCAAATAGGTGACAGCCTGATGTAGAGAAAATTTTGGCATTTCATAACAAGGATTTTAAAAGCTTTCACAACAGTAAACATTCTAATACTTTGTGATGGGAAAAACATAAAGTCTAAATTTTATTAAAATTAAACAAATAGAGAATTGTTTTAGAGGGGGGTAAATGAAAATATGACTATTCTCCCATCCAAGTATTAACCAGGCCCAACCCTACTTAGCTTTAAAGATCAGATGAAATCAAGTACATTCAGGGTGGTATGGAAGCAGAAGCAGGCACCCACAGCTAAGCACTGAGCCATAATCCTGGAATTTAGTTGTAGAGAGGGAGGAGGGTTGAACAAAGCAGTCAAGAACATGCTGGAGAAACCTATAGAACCAGCTGACCTGACCTAGTGAGAGCACAAGGACCCCAGTGGTGAACCAGCATTGGCCTGAACTAACCCTCTGAATGTGGGTGCCAGTTAGGAGGCCTGGACAGGCTATGAGACCTCTAACAGCGGAACCAGTATTTATCCCTAGTGCACAAATGGACTTTGGGAGCGCAATCCCTATGGAGAGATATAATTTTAGCCCAGATATTCCCAGGAGGGCTTGGTCCTCCCCCAAAATGATGTGACAGACTTTGATGATTCCCCATGGAAGGCCTCACCATCCTTGGGGAGTGGGTGGGAGATGGGTTGAGGGAATTGATAAGGTGCATGGGAGGATGGAAGGGAGAGGGAACGGGGGTTGGTATGTAAAATGATTGTTTCTAAATTAAAAAAAAACAATAAAGAAAATATGGGTATTCAAGTTGTCTTTATTAGGGTTGCTATGGCTATGCTGAAAACACCATGACCAAAACAACTTGGAGAAAAAAACAAAAGTTTGTTTGGCTTACATTTCCATATCATACTTCATCATCAAAGAAGTCAGGACAATATCTCAAGACAGACAGGAGTCTGGAGTCAGGAGTTGTTGCAGAGGCCATGGAGGAGTGTTTGCTCTTCGTGGCTTTCTGAGTCTGCTTTTTTATATAGAACCCAGGAATATCTGCCTGGGGCAGCCCTCCTTACCAGGGGCTGGTTACCCTTCTTAACCAATTACTAATTTTAAAAAATGCCCTACAGGCCTGCCTGCTTATAGCCTGATCTTATTTTGGCATTTTCCGAATTGATGTTCCTTTCTTTCATATAACTCTAGCTTGTGTCCAGTTAACACAAAACTATCTGGCACACAAGTCGTGGTATCCCAACTTCCAATTCCTCCAGGCACCTCCTGCTCACCCACAGATCTAGTCTGCCAAAAACCAGGTAGGCTACCTGCAGATAATTTCCCCCATCTCTCTCTTTGCCCTTATAACCAGTTCATCCTTAGAGCTGAAGCAGATCACCAGCCTCAGCTTCCCTCCCCGCTGCCCACATCCCTTGTGGATCCCACAAACCATCCCCTCCAAACCTTGCTTCCCCAACTCAACGCTGTGTCCCAACCTCCAAAAACAGCAGGCATTCCCTGTGAACATACCAACGGAACAGGCCAGTACAAAAGGCAACATGCAGTCATTACATACTCCAAAATCCAGGAGAAATAGAAACCAAGGAACAAAACACTCAACCAAGAAAGAAAAACCCAGAAATCTGCAACTAGACCTATAATCACCCAAAATCCACATGCCTAAATGCTAGCATAAAAACAACAGCCAGGGCAATATGTCTTAGAGTCCACCTATCTTACCCTAGCATTTCCTGAATATTCCAACATAACTAAAACACACACCAAAATACAAACACAAGCATCAAACAAACAAACCTCTGAAATCAAGTACATGAAGATGATAGAGGTCCTTAAAAAGGAAATAAATATATCCCTTAAAGAAAGACAAGAAAATATAAACAGTTGAAGTAAATGAAAATTGAAAAACCTGAAAATGGAAATAGATGCAATAAAGAAATACAAACTGAGGGAATTCTGGAAAGAAAAACTTTAGGAATTTGAATAGGAACTATAGAGGTGAGCTTTATCAATAGAATACAGGAGAGGGAAGAGAGAATATCAGGCATTGAAGATACAATAGAAGAAATAGATACATTCATCAAAGAAAAATTTAAATCTAAAGAATTCCTGACAGGAAACTTCAAGGAAATCTGAGACACTATGAAAAGATCAAACCTAATAATAATAGGAATAGAAGAAGAAGAAGAAGAAGAAGAAGAAGAAGAAGAAGAAGAAGAAGAAGAAGAAGAAGAAGGAGGAGAACAACAACAAGAAGAAGAATCTAACCCAGGTCAATGGCCCAGAAAATGTCTTCAACAAAATCATAGAAGAAAATTTTCCTTACTTAAAGATGGAGATGCCTATAAAGGTACAGGAAGCATACAGAACATCAAATAGACTGGACTAGAAAAGAAAGTTCCATTGTCACATCATAATCAAAACACTGAACATATAGAACAAAGAAAGAATATTAAAAGCTGAAAGGGAAAAAGATCAAGTAACATATAAAGAAGGCAGGTTAGAATTATAGCTAACTTTGTTATGTAGGTGCTAAAAGCAAGAAGGTCTTGGAAAGATGTACTGTAGACCCAAAGAGACCATAGATGTCAGCCCAGACTACTATACCTAGCAAAACTTGCTATCACCATACATGGACAAAATAAGATATTTCATGATGAATTCAAATTTAAACATTATTTATCTATAAATCCAGTGTAACAGAAAGTGCTAGAAGGAAAACCTAAACCTAAGGTGGTTAACTGCATCCATAAAAACACAGGCAACAAATAATCTCATACAAGCAAAACCAAAATAAGGGAAAACACACACACACACACACACACACACACACACACACACACACAGACAGACACACACACCACCACCACCATCATCACCACTGCCACCATCAGCACTACCACCAAAATAGCAGGAATCAGCAATCATTGGTCATTGATACTTCTCAGTATCAAGATCTCAATTCATCAATAAAAAGACATAGTCTAGCAGAATAGATGAGAACACAGTGTCCCTCATTCTACTTCAAGAAGAAACACAACTCAATGTCGAGGATAGACATTATCTCATGGAAAGGGATGGAAAAGCATATACCAAGAACATAGACCTAAGAAGAAAGCTGGTATAGCATTTTAATATCTACCAAATAGTCTTCAAAACAAAAATAATCAAAAGGGGTACAGGAGGAGAATATATATTCATTGTAGGAAAAAGTCTACCAAGGTGATATTTCAGTTCTTAACATCAATTCTGTAAACACAAGGGCACCTAAGTTTTTAAAAGAAACTCTACCACAGGTCAAATCATATGTTGACCCTCACACATTGACAGTGGGAGACTTCAACACCTTACTATCACCAATGGACTGATTATCCAGTTAAAAACTAAACAGAAATACTGGAGCTAACAGACATTATAATAGGTATCTACAGAAAATTTAACCCAAACACAAAAAGTATACTTCCTCTCAGAACCTTATGGAATTTTCTCCAAAAATGACTGTATACTCAGATTCAAAATCAAGTTTCAATTTATACAATACAATTGAAATAATTCCACTATGGGTTTAACTTAGATATCAACAACAGAAACAACAGAAAGCTTCCAAACTCATAGAAATTGAACAACTCTCTAGTAAATGAAAAATGGGTTGACATGAATAAGAAA